TTGTTCAATTACACATCCAGAGCATTAGAGAATACTTATTCCTCAGGTCACTTTCATAGTCAGTGTTGTGACATTTTCTGAAGTCTGTAACTGTTCTTTAAAATGAAGACAAGGGGGGAAAAGCCTTTTCCTTATTAAAGAAGTTGGGTTAATACAGTTAGTAATAAAGCACCTACAATTGCAGAGAAGGTATCACACTGGATTTTAGAATTTAACCAAGAATCTTCTGTCTTCAAGTCACCTAAGATCTGAATCACAGAGGAAAGACAATCAAAGGGCACCCAAGAAATGCTCACAATAACCACACAATTGTCCTAGAATCAGTTTGTGATGAATCTATCCTGTGCGAGAAAAAAACATTATGTATGTTGGTATTTGGCAGGTTGATCAGAGCAGTGCTGTCTGATAGAATCATAAGACAAGCCACATGTGTAATTTTAAATTTTCCAATAACTGCACTAATAGAGCATTAAAGAAACAAGGTGAAGTTAATTTGGATAATATATTTTATTTAACTCAATATATCCAAAATACTATTTCCACATGCAATTACTTTTTAAAAATTATTCATAATATGTTTATTTTTATTTCTTCTTTGGTATTAAATTATTAAAACCAAGTATGTGTTTTACACTTACGGCACATACCAATTTGAGATGAGCCACATTTCAGGTGCCCAATTACTACATGTGGTTAGTGGCTACTGTATTGGACAGGTGGTTTTAGAGTATAAAGTATGATGCTTTTAAACACTTTCACCTTTTTGCTGTGGGGTGTGTTGAACACTTTAAGCTGTTATCATTTGCATAATAGACCATTCAGTGATTATTAGTATCATTTTTATTCAGAAGAAATGCTTTTTGGTAAGTATCATGAGCATTGATTATAGACCTTGAAAAAAAAAACAATTGGTTTCTTTTTTTCTTTGTAAAATGGTAGTAATGCTGATTTTGAAAAAAGGAAAACAGATTCCATTGTTTGAGAGCTATCAGACAACTTAAATATATAATATTGTTTAATGCTCACAACAACTCTATGACATAGGTATTATTGTTAGCATTTTAGCTAGGTGGATATTGAGCCTCAGAGAGGTCATATAAATTACTCAAGGTTACTCACACAGATAAGAAGGGACAGTGTCAGGTTTTCTGCCTCCAGACGGGTGCTATTCATCACCGCATTTAACCATCTCCCCACTGTCTCAGTTCACATGGCTGTTGCAGTGAACAGAGGCAATAACAATGGTTAACTCTTTATAATCATACAGTTTCTTCAGAAATAATGTCATAATGAAAATGACAATTTCAGCATCATTAACTAATGACAGTTGGAAAAATGCATTTTTAGAGGGTCCCAGGCTTATTTTGCCTCTCTAACAACAGAATGCACCATGTATCCCAATTGCCAGAGCACCTCTTAATTTTTAGCAAATGGCTGTGGCTGCATGCCTGTCCTGCTCACCTCCTGCAATTGTAAAAGGCTTAGCAAGGCTTATGATCAAAACGTTCAAAGGTCTCTATCAGATCACCTGAAAATGGGTCTGTGGTACAATAAAAGAAAACTAATGCCATAAGCTTAAGATATAGGGCTAGAACAAGAGTTTTTCTTTTTTGTTCTTCTTGACCATTTCTAAATTTTGTTGCAAATGCATTTCAGTTTTACATAGCTATCCTTTTATTGGAATTTACCTTTTAATTCTTCCCGTTCCTAATGTATTTTCCAAAGTGCTTTTCAAGCATACTCCCTAACTTTCTATCCATTGTCACTCCTTCCTTCCTTCCTTCCTTCCATCTTTCCTTCCTTTCTTTCTTCTCCTTTTGCCTGGAGAGAGTGGTGGATAAAATGGATAAATATCTCTTTTTAAATTTTTGGCATATATTTCTACTCATCCTTTTATAGTTTGCTTTTCTTAGGGATTTCCTGTTGTTAAAGGCTTTTAAATATATACCTTAATTTTCTTCCCACACCTGACCTCAATTGTACTGTTTTACTATTTTTCATTTTTCTTGTCATTGTCACTAGTAATTGCATCTATTTTTCCTGCCTTCTTCTTTGTTTGTAAAAATTACATTTCATTATAAAAACCATAATTGTTTAGATGGATCATATTCTAGTAAGAACATAAATTTCTCTAGGGGTTAAATATAACCTATTTATGATGTTCTTCAGTATCTCATATATATGCAATATATGTATGTGCTTCAGAACAAGTCTTGAATAATTAGACATTCCTGATTAATACTGCTTTATTTTATAAATGATCTCAAAGTTCTTTTTTTTTTTAAAAGCAAGTGATGGCAGTGGGGATTTGGTGCTGGCTTTTTGACTGCAACGAGTTATTGCTGTGTGTCAGCTAACAATTGCTTGCTTTAATCACTAAACTAAAATGTTTAGGAAATATCTAAGTAATTGACAGTTGCAGAACATAAGTCCCTCCATGTTATAAATCCATGTGCTTTCATGTTGTATTTCATATCTAACTGATTGAACAGTTAATATTATTTTAAAAAATCACAATGTGCACCACCCGAAGAATGGACATATTTGAAACTCGGACTTAGTGGGGGAGGGGTGGCAAGGGCAACATACGTAACCTAAACATCTGTACCCCCATAATATGCTAAAATAAAAAAAAAAAAAGAAAAAAAAATCAGTAAGGTCTTAAGTTTTTTTAGTTGACTATAGACTTGAGAAAGATTTGTGGTTCCTAAGTAAAGGATACATGATAGCTTATGGAGCAACTGGATTCATTTGAAGGTCTTATCTGTGATTCCCAGATGTGTGACACTCAGATGTTGACATTAGGAACTGCACATGGATTTTCAGCATTGAAACTTATGTACACACAGGTATTAGAGGTGAAGTAGCTTATGGCACCGCTGACTACATGGCTCTGTGTGTGCATATGCTTAAATCATTAAAAGTAGAAATCAACCTGCTTCCTTGGAGAAAGATTATATACCAGTATGTAAGAGTTAAAAGGTCTAAATGGGGGCTATTCCCTGCTGGTAAGGACTCTCATGAATGGGTCCTATAAAATGCCATTATGCTTACTTAGGAAGATTTTACAATGCCTTCAACTACATTGAGGGCAGGATCCATATCAGACTTGTTGTCACTTGTATCCCTGGAGACACAGGTGGTACCTAGTACATAGTAGGTGTTCAGTAAATAAATGCTGGGTAAATTAATGAATGCAAAGGTAATTTGGAGGAAATTTAATTTATATTATTCATTATGTCTTAAGTATATTTAAGAATAAACTAAGTATAAATAAATAAGCATTTCATATACCAGTAATGGTCACAATTTAAAAAAGAAATCTTATAAGGCATTGTGTGGCTAGGCTAAGTCTTTTTGTCTGAAAAATTGATCCGTTCTACCTTTATCTCATATTTTCTTATAAATTTATGCCATAGACAGTGTATTTGCTGTAGAAAATAATGCCGCTTTGTTGTTCTCAAGAGTGAACATTGACTCAGTCATTGTCCCAGGTATGATATGGTTTGACTTGTTAGACTGTTGTGCAGTCTTAATAATAATTACCACGATCTTTAATGATAGCAATTCTTAATGAGTATTATTATTGTTAATAATGATTATATTTAATAATTACACCCAATACTTATTATCTTTAATAATAATAATTAGCACATGGGAACCAGTTGTACCATTGTATTATCTTTAGAACAAAAATCTAAATCTGTTGCCCAGTAGTTTGCATAGTATCTGCTCCCACTCTCTGCTTTCTAGATCAGAGTGAGTCAGGAAGCTTCTAGGGTCCAGGCGACAGGGAGTTCTAGGGTCCAGGCGACAGGGAGGGGCTTCTGGAAAAACTCCTATGCATTCTGTGTGCCAGAGACCATAGTCATTTTACCTAGAGGCCTTATTTTTTTTGCAAAATGCCTTTACCTTCTGCCTCCCCCATGTCTGCCTGTCCACCCATCCTTCATAACTTTTGATTTTTCTTGCACAAAGAGAAGACCCAGAGCAGATCCTTATTCCATAACATACTAATTTGTGTGAATTACATAGGACAGGGTCCATGTTTATTAGTTGTATGTTGGTAAAACTTTGATCTTCTTCTGCCTTGGTTATGTTTAGATTTAAGTGCCTGTATGACTTTTTTTAAAAAATAAAGAACAGTTTTAAAAAATCTTTGGTGAATTAAACATTTTTTAGCTTTTCACACTTTGATACAAAGCAGAGAAATATTTCAGTGACAACAGATTTCAACAGATTTTCAACTAGACTGATTTGCTTTATTCTTTAGGGTAGTTTACTTCTTTTGTCTGAAAACACTAGAAAAGATACTCTCTTTTCAGTAGTAACCTGTGTTAATGCATAAAATAATAATTTAAAAAGACAAAGTTTTATATTTGGACGTATATTTTGACAAACATTATATGTAAGTTAAAACTTTCATGATCGGGTTATTTTCAGACTAATTGATCTATTTACCAGGATTAAAACAAAACAAAACAAAACAACAACATAAAGAGGGACTTCTTTTAAATTCCTATTACTTTCTTGTACATATTCACGTAACAGCTTAGGTCCTGAAATTAAACATGCCTCCCTACTAGGTATCTTACAACTGGAAGAGTTGAAATACCTTTTTAGACAAAAGCAAGTCTAATCTGAAAATACTAGTGCTGATTAATAGTTAATGATAAAACTATAGACAATTAAAGATTCGAGGGTTTTTAAGGTCACTGTGACCTCACCTATGTGCCAGGGCATCTCTGATTGGTACACTCCACTTTTTAATGACTGGAATCGGAGGGCTTCTGCCACTGCCCTGGGCAATTCTGTAATAATAGAGGGGGAAAAGCTCACAGCTTTCCATTAGGCCCATATGATTAAGAGGCTTGTTTAATCTAAACCACTGTCGATCACAGATGAATGACTTTTATAACTGTCTCTTCCCTTCCCATTCGTGGTGACTGAGATTTGCTTTGTAATGTTTGTGTTTTGCTCTTGAATTTTTGTCCCTTCAGGTTTGATGATTCCTGTCTTTTGTGTGGTGGAGCAGTTGGATGGCTCTCTTGAATACGACAACAGAGAAGAACATGCTGAGTTTGTCCTGGTGCGAAAAGATGTGCTTTTTAGCCAGCTGGTGGAGACAGCGCTTCTGGCCCTGGGGTATTCCCACAGCTCTGCAGCTCAGGCCCAAGGTATTAATCCATCTCCCCTCTCCTCTCTGAGTCTCCTTTGTGTCATGATATGAAGGAGAGCATGTTCCCTGACACAGTCCTCCAAACAAGGGTTGAAAGAGAATTTTAAGATTTAATGTCTTTCCGAAACAGTGAGCAGTGTCTTGTGGAGGGTCTTTTTTTCTTGTTGTTTGGGAAAGCATTTGAGTAGCATCTCTAGAGCCACAAAATCAACTTGCATTTCAAAGTGATCACCCTAGGTTATTTTGTATTCATAACTGTTATTTTTCCCTAAGTCAGCAAATTAGTGTTCTCGGTGCCAGTGCTGAGATATTTGACTCCTAACTTATCGAAACTTTAATATACAATTTATAAAGCATTCAGTTTCCTAAATGTATTTATTGCTTTGGGGCTATGGCTTCTGCACTTTGTGATGAGTTTTTAATTAAACAGAATGAAATGGATTCATCTTACTCTTTTGCATCTTTGGAAACTGGTTTATAGTTTTGATGTGGTCCATTCAATTAAAAAATATTGCAATGTCTTTGTGATCAATTTCTTTTACGTATTTAATTAAATATTAAAATTACATCGTTATTTCAGTATATATTGTACAACACTGGGGATCCCATTGTGAGCTTTTGTTGTTTCATTCTGAAACATAGCCCATTGTTCTTTCATGCCAAAGAATTGACAAAACAAATAGCAAAAATACTCCCCAAACCTTGAATAATGGCAAAAATTTTTTTTTGATACAATGAAATTATTATCTTTGTTTTTCAGCTGAAATGACTGAATTGTATAGTTTATGATTACGTTTATAACTAAAGGAGAGAAATATGTAACTTCCATATCTCATTTTATATATTAATTTCCTATGTTACTTTCTTTAGTTAAATTTATGTATGTGCCAAGGATTTCTGCTATTTTTTTTTTCTGTGACTGTCTCTTCATATCATTTGTAAGAACTATCAGTCAGAACTTTATTTTTCTGATAAGGACATTGTGAGAGATTAAGCATTTATTCATAGTTAGAAATATGGTGACCAAAGACGTGGGATTTAAATTCCCAAGTTCTTGAATCTGATTCTGTAAGTACATCATTGCTTTATAAAAATATTTTAAGTGTTTAAATTATCCCTTAGTTCTTCCAAGAAAGCAGCCCACTTGAAACCAGGGGTTACGAATTTTTTTCTTAGACAGGTAGTATCCTACGAGTTATTGTCAGTCCCAGTGCATGGCCAGACTGGGTACAGTGATGTAGCTGAATTGTAGAGTCCCATGCTTTCAAAGCAGCGTGATAAAGGATGGTTCATTTCCTTTCTCTGACGACTTTTCCTTCTTGTGTGAGGGATTCAGGATTTGATCCTGAGCAAATTGCATAGCGGGCACCATTGCTTTTATTTCATGCTATGTCCCTAAATGAAATAAAAGAATCCCCCTCCCTTCCCCCCATAAACTTTTCATGCCATTTTAGGGATATTTTTCTCTGAATGTAAAGGTCATTGTGTCCCACTGCTTGCATCCTGGTGTGCCAGCGTCCTGTTTGACAGGGCTATCCATCTCAGTTAGCACGGCTGCTCAACACGTCGTGAGCTCACACGTGGAACACAGAGCACTAAGTGGCCAAGATTTGATTCTTGGCACATGCTGAGGGAAGGGGCTCTCAGGAAATTTGCACTAGGGAGCCACACTATTCCTTTCAGTGGTGTGGACTGAGTTCTACTCACCAAAGTGAGATATATAAGCAATAAATATCATCTATGGTGGAGGATTAAACAAGGGACAAGACAAAAATGATTATTTGCTTCTTCAACATTTTTGAAAATTAAGATTTAAAAATGTTAAATTATTTATACATTTTATAAATTGTATCAATATTCTGAAGGTGCTCTAGATCACAGATGTACTTTATTTTATAGGTAAGCAAAGGTTTTATCACTAGGTCCTGTACTGTAATCTCACAAAGGAAAGAAAAAAAAAATCACAGTTTATTTTGTTTTAAATTAGGCTCATGATCTCTCTTTTGGGTAAATGGAAAATCTTAGAATTGTTTATTTTGAAGTGAACGTATTAAATCTTTGTTGTCATTTAGATCATTAAAAGTGTGCCGTTTCTTGCATGTTTATTATAGACCAAACAGCATGCACGATAAGACAGTTCATTCATTGGTGGACAAACAGCAGAGAAAGAAAAAGACAGAAAAGGAGGTAGAACAAAATGTGACTTTTTTTTTTTTTTTTGGAGACAGAGCCTTTCTCTGTCACCTGGGCTGAAGTGCCATGGTGTCAGTCTAGCTCACAGCAACCTCAAACTCCTGGGTGATCAAGTGATCCTCCTGCCTCAGCCTTCCATGTAGCTGGGACTACTGGCACACGCCACCAAGCCCTGCTGGTTTCTTCTATTTTTAGTAGAGGTGGGCTCTCACTGGTCTTGAACTCCTGAGCTCAAGCAATCCTCCTGCCTTGTCCTCCCAGAGTGCTAGGATTACAGGCGTGAACCACTACACCCGGTCAAAATATGAGTTTTTGGTGATAAAAGGCATGGGATTTTATGTGTATAGTTTTCTTTTTTTGTTTTTATATTTGTGTTGTTGTTTGTTTAGTGTTTACGTAAGTCCTTCAAGATAGGGGAACTATTGAGGGGACCTCCTCGGAAGTCCATTTGCGACAGAGAAACTGCAGTGTTCTGGAATCTCTTTTTCCTATGCTGGAAAAGTTGGGCAGAGCTAAACTGTAAGAATAGAGGGTTGCTTGAGCCTATTTAAAAAATGGAGGCTCTTGAAACATGATTTTTTTCCTTTTGATATGACCAGAAAAGAGTTTCAGTAATTCAATTTACTACCTGTAAAAGAGAAAATACATTTGCCATGTTATTATTTTGGAATGGTGCCCAGGTCCCAAGGACAAAGCAGGGGACCCTATGCTTTTGTGAACACGGGATAGTCAGGTTCTTTTTTTAAGAGGGCATTCCCTCCAGGTGAGCTGAAGAGATTTTATTAAGAAAGAATATTTGCTTCTAAATAATGATAGAAATCCTACTAAAATGGAACTCAGGGATTTTTCTCCCGGTTTTAACAATAACCTTTATCAAAGGCAGATTTTGGGACCCAAGAGAGAGTAAGGATGCGAGTTACTGTCATAAACCATGGGAACTGTGTTTCTAGCTGACCCATACCCTCCATGTCCCAACACACGTGTCACTAACTATGATTCTCAAGGATATGAGATGCAGTATTCATGAAACCTGCTGTTTTGCATATTCAAAAAGCCAAAAGCTGGCAGGTCCTTTGCTTCTCTCAAAATAGGTAGACTAAGGTCTAATGAACCATAAGCACATTTTACATTATATCACGGGCTGTGAGTTCATGTCTCTGCATCAAGTCTTCGAGTCTTTTAGAAGGGCATTATCCAGGGTATTGCTGCTACTTAAGGGACATCAAAGTCCTCTGATCCCCCAACTTAGACTCACCACTCCCTTTATTCTTCTTTCTTCTTTCCTTTTTATCCTCTCAGTTCTTCCCTGTAAGCGCTTTTGGTAATAGCTGTGGAGCTCTCCACACCACCCAGAATTCTGTAGCCCACTGGTTAAGAAGTGACTCATATTTGCCAAGGTGGATAGTGGACTTGGGGAGGCAACCGTGATGACAAGGTGATGCCTCGTTGTGCATATTTGACTTAACTAGTGAGTGGTCACTTTATCTCTCCCCTGCTTCCTGTAAATTTTGAAATACATTTTAAAATTTATTTTTGACCAATTTTATTTAAAAACAAACATGCTTAGCAAAAAATAAGCACGTATCCTTTCTACCTGGTATTTTTAAGGTCAAAATTATGGGTTCAAGAAGAAGTATATTAATCATCATTATTTATT